CATGGGGGACCTTCAAAGTGACTATGTAGTTAATCCTGGTTCACTGTTGCAGTCCCTGACCTCTCTGTCATCTGGTAGTGTGACCTTCATGACCACTTGCTGCTTGCTGGGTCTCTGCAACCGTGAAGTCTCTCTTTCTGCTCTTTTCAGGCTACAGAAGGTGTATTTTTCTCTCCCTCCTTCTCTCCTGGACCACGTCTTCCTGCAGCTTTCAAAATCCCTCTGTTGGCTGTTTTCCGGTTCCTCTGAGCTTCTCTCTTGAACTTGCTTTCCTCTCTGATTTCAGGGCCTCTATCATGTCACCCAGACAGTCACTCAGGGCCCCAGGCTGACGGCAGCTCATCCATTCTACGGATCTACAAATCTCCTGGACCTCACACCTGTGCCCCAGATCCTCATCCTGCAGTTACCTGGGGATTTCTTCACCAAAAGAGTCCCAGGCCACAGGGTGCAAGTGGCCTTAGAGATAGTCCAGGGGCACGCCCTTGAAACGCCTTCATATTCTTCAGGTCACATCCCCCCAGCAAGAAATTTTTTTTCTTTCTTTTTCTGGGTACCAGGGATCGAACCAAGGGACGCTTGACCCCTGAGCCTCATTCCCACCCCTATTTTATAGAGAGACAGGGTCTACCTGAGTTGCTCAGGGTCTTGCTAAGTGGCTGAGGCTGGCCTCCACCTTGCGATCCTCCTGCCTCAGCCTCCCGAGCCGCTGGGATGACATGCTATGGGCCACCCCGCTCAGCTCCCAGAGAGGAATTTTCTAAAAATGGCTTTTTTTAGTGTGATATCACCCTATCCTGTCTCTTTCTATCCCCTTCACCTGTTTTATTTTTCTTCAGAGCCCTTATCACTGCTTGAAAATGTATTCCAATCTTCCTTGTGGGGAACCTCTCCCACCAAGTTCCAGAAGGTCGGATTTTTTTTTTTTATATTTTTGCTGTATCATGAGGACTTGGAACAGTGCCTGGCAGGTAATAGGTGCTCAATAAAACTTTGTTGAAGGTGGTAACGCCCCAGAGTTGTGCTCAAAGTCACCTAGTAAATCACAAACCTCTGACCCCCTCTCCCCGCATCGGAAATCACTTTTAACTCCCACAAAGTGTCTCAATATTCAAGAAGGGCTGCATAGTCTCCTCCAGTGGGTGACTCCATTTATATCACTGATCCCTTTAGCTTTCTCAGTTGTCCTGGTTGAAGATCCGGTTGTCTTTGACTTTTTACCCTCTTGTGTCTCTCATATCTCAATCTGTGTGTTGCCTTATTTCTGCGTTCAAAATGTCTCTTTGCTCATGGGGCCTCTGTTCCAACACCTGACCTCAGGCCTGCAAACTTCATTCTGGTTGATCTCCCGTCTTGACATCTTGGGTCCCCTACAAAGGATCTTTGTGACCTCTAAGGACCAACTTCACACACTATTTGTAGAGGAAATGTAAGAAACGGATGGTAACCCCTCTGGAGACGGGGACCTGGGAGCTTGGGAGATCTGGGGTACCCTTTCAACTGTATATACCTGTGAATGAGATGGATTTTTTTTTTTTTAGCAGTTACACTATTTATCTTGCCGTTTAAAAAAAAAAAAGTTTAAAGATTTGTGTTTCATCCCCAGATTTTTTTTTTCAGGTCTCATTTTCTTTGAGGACAAAATAAACCTCTTCCATCACCCAGGCTAAAGCTATATGACATGAAATCATGGTCCGGGGAGAGAGAATATTACAGTCCCAAGAAGAAGGTAGTAACCAAGTTTCCTGAGCCTAAGAAAAGGCCATTGGTTTTAACTGGGCCACTTGTGACCACCCCCCAAGAGTGATTTTAGCACAGTGGTAAGCACAGACGCAGAAAGGTCAGGAGTAGTAAGGAAATGACCACCCTCCAGCCCAGGTCACACATTTTAAACTTGACGTTGAAGAGGAAAGATGAGAATAAATTGTCAGGGAAGAGAAGCAAAAGAAGAAACACTTTTGGAATAGTTTTTTAAGACTAATAAAAGGTTTTCATATTTGAATTCAGAAGAGAGGGAGGATTGGCTGGGCACAGTGGCCCACACCTGTCATCCTGGTGGTTCAGGAGGCTGAGGCAGGAGGATCACAAGGTGGAGGCCAGCCTCAGCCACTTGGTAAGGCCCTAAGCAACTCAGCGAGACCCTGTCTCTAAATAAAATATAAAAAGGGGCTGGGGACGGGGCTCAGGGGTTGAGGGCCCCTGGGTTCAATCCCTGGTACCCCTCCCCCCAAAAAAAAAAAAACCTAAACCAGAAGGTTACAAAGAAGAGGTGTAAGACTTCATGAAAACGAACATTCATGAGTTCATGAGATATAGATATATATAGGTATTGGCCACAGAGGATTAAACTGCATTTCCCAAGTCACAGCCCTGCAGCTCCATGTGGCAATGTGACTTCAGTTCAGCCCAAGGATACATGAGCAGAAGTCACACCTTTGGAAGGGAAGAGCTCTTTCCCCTGGCTGGAGGCAACGGCAATTCTTGAAGGGAAAGGTGGAGCCAGGTACAGAGAAGGGACCTGGGTCAGAGACACCCGGGAGTCACACCTCAAGAGTCTTGCAACGCTCCTGTCCAGCCAGTTACGAAAAAGAGAATTCATTTCCTGCCGGCTTCTTATGTCAGTTAAGAGAGATGAGGCCAAGCTACCTGAACCTACGCCGTTAGATCACATAAGATCACTGCATATAGGATCAGAAACTACCTGGATCCTGCCTGAAATAGGAGCCGAATATTTATCCACCCAGGATTTGAGGATTTCCTTACTGAGGAGAATAAAACCATCCTGGAATCCAAACAGGGGATGCTTCACCACAGAGCCCCATCCCCAGCCCTTTTTAAATGCTTTTTTACTTAGAGAAAGGCTCTTGATAAATATCTTAGGGCCTCACTAAGTGGCTGAGGCTGGCCTCCACCTTGCGATCCTCCTGCCTCAGCCTCCGGAGCTGCTGGGATTCCCTCTAAAATGTTTTTCATCGATGTGAACAACTTCTAAAATGTTTTAAGGAAATTCTACTTACCAAGATACATTTTTTTTTCCCCAATGCGATACACACGTGCCGTGGACTATGATTTAGCCTTTCAAAGGAAAGAAATTCTTGACATAGGCTACAACAGACAAATCTTGAGGACATGCTAAATTCAAGAATAAATCAGCAAAGGGTAACTATTATAAATGAGCTTCTGTTTATCCAAGTTCCCCTAGAATAGCTAAATTCATACACAGAAAGTAGAACCGAGGTTCCTGGGTGTGGGGTGAGGAGGGAGAGATGGAGAGTTATTTTTCTAAGGAGTACTAAGCTTCTGATTGGGGGTGGTGAAGAAATTCTGGAAATGGATCCTGGCGATGGCTGTTTGGTTGGTCCGTTTCACACGCCTATGATGAAACGCCTGAGATAAGTAACTTAGAAAGACAACAGGTTTATTCTGGCCTAGAGTCTGGGAGCTTCCAGGCCATGACTGGGTAAACCAGATGCTTTGGGCCTCTGGTGGGCATGCTGGGTGATCACAGCAGGGGGACAATGCTGCAGTCCCCCTACTTTCCCCCTTCTGGGGCACACTTCTAAGGATTTCCCCAGTAGCCTCACCTCCTAGAGTTCCACCACCTGTGAACAGTCCCACCTGGGATCTAGCCTTTAACAGATGGACCTCTGGGGAATTTTCCTACTTAATGTCTTTAGGTGGGAACACTCCCAAGGATCCGATGGCAAACTGTTATTTGGGACACAGGACGCTAAAGAAGACATCGATGGCACATCGGGAACTTGGCGCTCTTAAGTCTTATCTGGCAACGCGAACCTGGGCCATGCGCACTAAGGTCGACCAATCATTTTCTTTTTTTGTCGTTTTGCAACTTTAAAAGATCAAATAAAAGATCTGTTACCTTAAAAGGCCACAATTCCAGACGCTCTTTAAAACAAGTGTCCTCACCCAGCTCAGGCCTGAACGGGAGTCCACCGTGGCACGCCCCAAAGCGCGGGAAGACCGTGCGCAGGCGCAGAGTGCTCCGTGAGGGGCGCGCGTGGAGGGGTGCGCAGGCGCAGACTGGCCCACGGGACTGGGTCGGCGCGAGGAAGCGAGGGAAGGCACTGAGCAAGCGCAGAGCAGCCCGTGCGACTGGGTGAGAGGAATCAGCAAGGTAAGGCACTGCGCAAGCGCAGAGCAGCCTATGGGACTGGATTGTTGAGGCGGAATCAGAGCGGGAAGGCATCTGCGCAAGCGAAGAGCAGCACGTGGGCCTGGGTGCGAAGAAGCAGCGCGGGAAGGCACTGCGGAAGCACAGAAGGGCCCACGAGACTAGGTTGGTGAGAGGAAATACTGGGGGGAGGCATTACGCAAGCGCAGAGCAGCCCGTGGGCCTGGGTGGGAGGAATCCACGCGAGAAGGCTCTGAGCAAGCGCAGAGCAGCCCGTGGGCCTGGGTGGGAGGAATCCACGCGAGAAGGCTCTGAGCAAGCGCAGAGCAGCCTGCGGGACTGGATGATTGTGCGGAATCAGAGCGGGAAGGCACTGCGCAAGCGCAGAGTAGCACGTAGGTCTGGGTGCGCAGAATCAGAGCGGGAAGGCACTGCACAAGTGCAGAGCAGCACGTGGTCCTGGGTGCGCAGAATCAGAGCGGGAAGGTACTGCGCAAGCTCAGAGCAGCACTTGGGACTGGGTGTGAGGAATCTACAGGAGAAGGCACTGAGCGAGCGCAGAGCAGCCTGCGGGACTGGATTGTTGCGCGGAATCCAAGAGGGAAGGCACTGCGCAAGCGCAGAGCAGCACGTGGTCCCGGGTGCGCAGAATCACAGCGGGAAGGCCCTGCGCAAGCTCAGAACAGCACGCGGGACTGTGGGTGTGAGGAATCAGCGCGGGAAGGGCACCGCGCAAGCGCAGAACAGCCCGCCGGCCCGGATTGGTGCGAGGCATCCTCGCGGGAAGGCACTGCGCAAGCGCAGAGCGTCCCGCGCAGCGGAAGCACGTGGCCTCCGGCCCCATCCACACCTGTCTTCCTAGAGTGGCGGCCAGCACCCTCCCTCCCTCCAGCCCGGCGGGGCGCTGGCCCTCACGCCGCCTTCCAGTACCGTCTATTTATATCTCTGGGCCCACACAGGCCCTTATTGGGCAGTGCGGCCCCTCACACCGTCCCGTCCGGTGCACTCCCAGCTCGGAGCGTCCGGCGACGTCCAGGCCAGGTCGCGGCGCCACCACGGGCGGCCCCTGCCAGGGCAGCAGCTCCGTAAGTAGGGGCAGAGCTTGGGAAATGCGGGCCCCGTGGACAAGCCCAGGGTGCGCTCCAGCAGGGCCGGGAGCCGGGCGCCCTTGCACTTGGCAGGGTCCCCGCTGCTGGAAGGCCACCGCCCTTGGGTCGCCGTGGGGCCAGCTCCTGGCATCAGGCCTCGGCTGGGCATGGGCTTCCTCCTGGAGGTCATGGCTGCCCAGTCGGGGAGCTGTCTCTCAATCTACGGTGGTAGTTTTGCAGCCCCCCACTTAGGGGTGGGACGTGTCCTGGGGTCTGACTTGTGTCCTCCTGTCCTGCTGTCCTCCTGTCCTGGCAGTCATTCTAGAAGCGAGAAGAGTGCCTGGCGCTGGGGAAAAAAAAAAATGGTTCGTTTAAATTCAATCAACGTGGAATGTCTCCCAGGGCAACTCTCTTCACTCTAAAGCCAGGAAAATAATTGCCCCGCATTTTCCCCGCATGATTCTTAAGGGGAACTAATGAGCTATGATGCATATTAAAGCCCTTTTGCAAAGTAGCAAGCGCTGCGAGATTGCAAAACACTGTGAACTCATCAAAGAAAAAAGGGAAACTTGTCCTATTTGTCTTTCTCGTCCCTGTGCATCGTGTGGGGGGATGGATTATGGCTATTAAGTGAATCAAGTCTTTTTTTAATTATTATTATTTTGTAACCCTCTACCTTAGTGGGAGGCTCCAAAGTACATTTTGGGTGGTGCGAGAGTCATTTTCTACCAAGGCCTGCAAGTGTGGGATCGGGTGCAAGCGGATAAGGCAGAAACTAAACAGGATATGGGGCACTTAGGGTGTCAATGAGGGGTCCCAAACAAGTGGCTATAAAATAATCAAAATGGTCCAGGGGCCAGAAATGCAGGATCCTAGGACACACTCAGGGTGGGATGCTAGGAACTGGGCAGTTGGAGAATAGACAAGTCCATCTGCGGAGCAGCAGCTAGCTTTGGGGTGCTTGCATACTGTTGTCACTTGGGAATGAAGGGATCATTGTTGGATGATCTTTGTTTTTCAGTAGGTGCTGGAATGCTTCAACTTTGTGTGTTGACAACTCACTTAGACACACGTGTATACGCATGCGCACCTGCTGGTTAGCAGCCAGTTTGTGGTCCCTAGAATCAGGAAAAGCCAATGCAGGCTTTGCTGTTGCCTAAAAGTGAGGTCCAAATCTCAAAGAGCAGACGATGAATTTATTTTGGAGAATTAATTTTGAGAGTAGGAGTATAATGTACCTGTCATAAGGCATCAAGCTACAGGCAAGGGAATCAAGTTAATAATTCTGGATGATTTATTTGACTTGGACAAAGGGGATAGCACCTTGGATCACTAAGCATGACTTATTTTTTATTTTTATTTTTTTGGTACCAGGGATTGAACCCAGGGGCTCTTAGCCACTGAGTCACATCTCCAGCCCACTTTTTAAATTTTTTTTTTTTTTAATTTTTAGACAGGTTCTTGCTAAGTTGCTCCAGGCTTCACTAAGTGGCTGAGGCTGGCCTCCAACTTGCAATCCTCCTGCCTCAGCCTCCTGGGCTACTGGGATTATAGGTGTGTGCCACCGCACCCAGCAAGCAGGACTTTTACATGTAGAGAGAAATCTTCATGATAGTGGTTTGCTGACACACACTTAGGCCTTTGCAACAGGTCATCATAAACCTGCAACCTGATTGATGCTCAACATAGCATTAATTTGATTGAACGAAACATACTGAGTAACTCTTAATGGCTAGGTATCATCACAGAGCCGTTAAGGATAAGAAAGTGATCAAGACATAGTCCTCTACCCTCCACGAGCTTCTCATTAAAAGGTGAGGGAGGCCGTGCACCAATAAATTATTTTTTGTAACATTTTTAAAATAAAAATACTATCATTTGGAGGCAGGTGAGTGTGGACAGGTTTTTAATCCTTCCTGTGCATAATTCTAAAAGATAGCAGTGCTTCATCTGTTTATTAAAAGCACTAACACCGTGGTATATATTTAAAATAGAAAACTCCAAGTTTCTTAATTTTCCTTTCCATAGGATTTTTTTTTTATTAGAGCTTTATGTTATACATAGTAGTTGGGTTCATTCCAACAAACTCATACATACATGGAATCTGATTTCAGTTTAGAATCCCCCCTTTCCCTCCTGTCCTTCCTCCCCTCTCCCATTCTTCTCCCTATACTCTTTTTTGTTGTTGTTGTTTATCTGTTAATTCCTTTTGTTTTCCTATTAATTTATATTTGGTTGGTTCTCTATGCATAAAGGTGAAGTTTTCTGTATCCTATTTATCATATGCACATAACATGATTTTTCTTTCTTTCTCTTTTGGTACTGGGGATTGAACCCAGAGGCACTCAACCACTGAGCCACATCCCAAACCCTTTTTTGTATTTTATTTAGAGACAGGGTCTCGCTGAGTTGCTTAGGGCCTCATCAAGCCGGGCACGATGGTGCACACCTATGATCCCAGAAGATCAGGAGGCTGAGGCAGGAGGATCACAAGTTGGAGGCCAGCCTCAGCAACTTAGTGAGACCCGAAGCAACTCAATGAGATGCTGTCTCTAAATAAAAATTTAAAAAAAGGCCTGGGGGTGCTTGGGTTGTGGCTCAGTGGTAGAACACTTGCCTAACATGTGAAGCCCTTGGTTCGATTCTCGGCACCACACATTAATAAATAAAGGTCCATTGACAACTAAAAAATATTTTATAAAAATGGAGAGTGCTGAGGAGGTGGCTTAGTGGTTAAGCATCTCTGGGTTCAATCCCTGGTCCCAAAGGGGGAAAAATAATAATTATTATTCTTCATTCACATTCCACTCTCGCTATATGAATTCTTAAAACACAACTTTTTTGACTTTTTAATTTTGATATGATTCCAAACTTGCAGAAAAGTCCCAAGAATAATACAAAAAGCTCCCGCCGACCCTTTACCGCCTTCACCAATAGTTTATTTTGTCAAAATTGACTGTTATCCTGTTCTGTGTCAAACTCGTTCATGTACACAAAATGTCTTGTCCAGTCTGCGTCAGACCCCCATGTGGATGAGATCCCCGCGTGCCACCCGTTGATCTCGTCTGTTTTTTTCCTATTGTGCAGAATTCTTTTGATGGAAATACTGTAGTCTGTCCCGTTAATGGATAGTTAGGTTATCCGCACATTCTTGCTGCTATGAATTTAAACTAGTTTTATCTTCAGCCAAACATGGAGGGATTTTCATGGAAAAAGAGGGCTTGGCCATGTGTTTAGGAAAAAAAAAAAGTAGCAACTGTAAAGATAATGCAAAGATGATAAAATCAGACACTATGAAAGCAAAACATTTGTGGTATAAGGAAATTGCCATTTTTTTGCCCCACATTAAAATTTACAGCGGCCCGTTTGTCAGAACGCAATAGAATGGCCCTGGGTGTAACTGCATTTTTGGACTGGCGAAGCAATCACGCTTTATTCTGTGGTTTGTATTTATCTCTGCTACTCATTTTTCCTCCATTATTATGGATACTATTGTTGTGAATGCACCAGCTCAGTCCTCTATAAATTGGAACAGAGAATGACTTCCCATTGATATCCCTGGGAACATTTCTACAATTTTCTTTTGCTGATAAAGGAAAATGCGCTCGTCTGCCCTCATTATGGGGAAAAAGTCGCTGTCAGCTCTCTGTGCAGGCGCTGTGTCTTTATCCGCAGTGCTTGGTACGTGTGCCCAAATATTCTTATGATTTGAAAAGTGTTTGTGCAGGTTTTACCAAGCAAACTTTTTTAATATGTATTTTTTTAGTTATAGGTGGACACAATATCTTATATTTATGTGGTGCTGAGGATCGAACCCAGTGCCTCACACGTGCTAGGAGAGTGCCCTACCTCTCAGCTACGGCCCCAGCCCTACTGAGCAAATGACGTATGGTACGTGCCTGACCTTATTCAATTCTCCAAACTATTTCTTTTTTTTTTTTTTTTCTTTTTTTGGGTACCGTGGATTGAACCCAGGGGCCTTCAGCCACTGAGCCCCCATCCCCAGCCCTATTTTGTATTTTATTTAGAGTCAGGGTCTCCCTGAGTTGCTGAGGGCCTTGCTAAGTTGCTGAGGCTGGCCTCCAACTTATGATCCTCCTGCCTCAGCCTCCCAAGCCTCTGGGATGACAGCCATGCACCACCGTACCTGGCTCTCCAAGCTTTCCTATAGAATCCTCAAAAGAAATTCCAGGTGAGAACAACTATAAGAAATACAATACTCTAAGTGGCATGAGCAGGGTCTCAAACCCAGACCTCAGTAGCCCCAGCCCAAATTCACGTGCCTGAACATGAGCCACACGAATCTCCCTCATTCTAATGGCTAGGAATGTCCCTTTGTTGGGTGCTTGGATGCCAAGACTAATCTGAACACCCCCATTGTACAGATGAAGGAAGAAGGTTTAGAAAGGCTTTTAAAAAATTCTTTTTTATTTACAGCAAACAAGCAGCTCATTTGGAGTTCATACCCAGAACTTTTTCATGTCGAGTCTCCCATCTGTCATGGTGATATGGTCCATGTACCTTATGTAGATATCCAAGAAACAGGCTGAGATGTTTTTGAGGTCTTAATGGTGACTGATTTAACTCCCCAGACATTCCTCAGGATTTCTGTCTGTAAATTCATTTGATCTGTAAATCCATAGCAATTAGAGTAGCTTTCAGGAAGCTTTTTATAAAAGGCAGTTGGATGGGGCACAGTGGCACATGCCTGTCATCCCAGTGGCTCAGGAGGCTGAGGCAGGAGGATGTCAAGTTGGAGGCCAGCCTCAACCACTTAGCGAGGCCCTAAGCAATTCAGCGAGACCCTGTCTCTAAATAAAATATAAAAAGGGCTGGGGATGGGGCTCAGTAGGTCATGGCCTCTGGGTTCAATCCCTGGTTTAAAAAAAAAAGAGAGAGAGAGAGAGAAACAGTTGGGAGATTCAGATACTTAATAAACAGATGCCCAGTGAAAAAGTTCATCCATAACAATTTCTTCAGCGTGTTGCAACAGTTATTTCGGCTTTGTGGTTGATGTCTGTTGAAGCCAGTGTTTGAAAGCAACATGCTCCCTCCCAGGGCAGGATTTCTTCGAGAAATTGACTTATATTTGGGGAATCTGGGGACAACCAGATGATCTTTTAACAGCACCACCGAGCCGCCCCAAAAGCTCCTCAGCTGGGTTTCAGAGGAGAATTGGAGATGAGTCACCCGGACAGGGGCCTGTCTTACTCACAGTCTGGAGAATGGCTGTATTTATAACATCCAAGCAGCGGTGGCAGCCTGCCACTTGTCATTGTGTAGTGCGGGAGCCGAGGGGGAGAAAAAAAAGATGTCATCATTTTAAATGACTTTTAAAAACCCAAAGAATAACACCGCTGGTGCCTGAAAACAGAAGATGAAGACGGATGGAAGTGGGGTTCAGCTTCCCCCCCCCAGATCTGATTGATCCTGGCCAAGAGCCTTCATTTGCATTTTATTAAGTCGGAGTCAATGGTGGTGGCCCACAAAGACTAAGATCCTTACCGTCTGGCCCCCGTTTTCAGACCTTTGTGCTAGAGGAAGTGGTCAAGTGTGCAGAGAACTGGGTCAAAGGGTGGCAGCCGGTTCCCAGGCGAGGGCACTTGGAGGAGGGACTTCAGGTTACCGTTGCTTTTTTATCACAGAGAAACAAAGATAAGAGGTTTCTATGGTTCTCACAAAACATAAGTCTGTCACAGCGGGGATACTGTATGTCACTACAGTGACCTCAGGCAACCTTCGCTCAGTATTTCTGCAAATGGTATACCAGAAGGGACTCTCTTTATGGGATGGGGGCATAACAGGGGATTGAACTCAGGGGCACTTGACCACTGAGCCACAATAGAGTTGGAAATAGAGCCCTTGAAGCTGTATTTTTAGTTTGGAGCTGTAGTGTTGACTGGTTTGAGTTGGGCTTGCTGTTCTTTACAATGAGGAGTCTTGCTATCCAGGCCTAGGGGTGCATTCCTGTCGTTCCAGCGGCTTGGGAGGCTGAGGCAGGAGGATCGCGAGTTCAAAGGCAGCCTCAGCAACAGCAAGGCCCTAAACAACTCAGGGAGACCCTGTCTGTAAATAAAATGCAAAATAGGGCTGGGGATGGGGCTCAGGGGTTAAGAATTCCGGGTTCAATCCCTGGTACCAAAAAAAAAAAACCTGACATTTCTCATGAGAGTCCTAATCCTTTATGGAGTTACAGAAACTTAGAAAGTGTCGACCCTTTAGAGCTGGTCAGTCTTGTGTTCTTGTTATTGAAATGGTCACTGCTCTTTATTTTTTGGTGGGGGGAGTTTCTGGGGAATTGAACTCAGGGTCACTGTATCCTCAGCCCTATTTTGGATTTTGTTTAGAGACAGGGTCTCCCTGAGTCGTTAGGGCCTCACAGTTGCTGAGGCTGGCCTCCAACTGGCGATCCTCCTGCCTCAGCCTCCTGAGCTTGCTGGCATTGCAGGTGTGTGTCACCTCTCCTTCCTTAAATCCCAGGACTGACTTCTCCCAGCCACATTTACTCCTGCTGCGTGCACCTTCGACAGCCAAGGAAGAATAGTAAAGGACAGAGACTGGAGATCCGCCTGGACTCCAAGTTCCTAACTCTGGGGCGTCCTTCCTTAGATCCAAGCAGCTAATTACCTTCCCGGAAGCCCCATTCCGTTGCCCCAGGGAAGGTGAGGATGACAGCACCAATTCAAAGAGACTGCTAATTAGACGGGTGCTTTTTCAAGTGGGAAGGGATTCCGGTCTCCCCACTGTGGAGAGGGAACAAAGAGAAGTTGAGCAAGGGGGGAAGACAGACCGCAGAGCTCCTCTCCAGCCTCTGAATTCAGGGAGTTTCAAAGACCATGCATTTGCAGATGAGCAGACATTTACCTGCCTTTCTAAAACCCAGTAGAAGCAATCTTGATCTTACCCACAGTGTGGAATTATTTGTCCCGTATCCAAGTTCGAGCAGAATTTTAGTGGCCTTACCCCCCCAATCATTCCACTTCCAGAGTGTGCCCCCCAGGCCCTTGGCATGACTCGATGACCCTTTCATTAGTGGTGAATTTTTGGAGGAAGGACTCAGAAGGCGTATTAACGGAGGGCCCTGCACCCTCCGCCTGCAGGTCAGCCGGATTTGGGAACTAAAAGTGGAATTGCCTAGAACCATCTCCCCTGCTTCCAAGGAGGCTCATGGGGTGGCCGTTCCTGATGGGCCCTCACACACCCAGCAGACTCTCAGATGCACAAGTGCTTGTCTTGAGCTGCTCTGTTTGCAGAGAATATTTGCTCATAGATACTCAGGAACACTAATGCTGCATATTTCAACTACAGAGAACTTTTTAAAAAATATTTATTTTTAAATTTTCGGTGGACACAGATCTTTATTTTGTTTCTACGTGGTGCTGAGGATTGACCGCAGTGCCTCTCGCATGCCAGGCCAGCGTGCTACCACTGAGCCACATCCCCAGCCCCCAGAGAGCTTTTTAATGTTAACTTTTTAATTTGTCCTCTTTAGATATACAGGACAGTAGAGTGATTTGGGGCTTTTTTGTTTGTTTTTTGTTTTTAGTACCTGAGATTGAACTCAGGGACACTTAACCCCTGAGCCCCATCCCCAGCCCTATTTTTGCATTTTATGTAGAGACAGGGTCTCCCTGAGTTGCTCAGGGTCTTGCTAAGTTGCTGAGGCTGGCCTCGAACTAAGGATCCTCCTGCCTCAGCCTCCTGAGTCACTGGGATGACAGATGTGCATGACCACACCCAGCCGGTAGAGTGTGTTTTAACATATTGTTCATACGTGGAGTCTAATTTATTCTAATTGGGATCCCACTCCCGTGGTTGGACCTGCTGTGGGGTGTCCCTGGTCGTGTGTTCCTGTATGAGATTTTAAATGACGCCCAACACCAGAGTGTCAGTTCTTACCTAAATCGTACTTGTCTCTGAAACACTATCTAAAATTTACCTGAGGCCCAAGGTGTGATGGAGTTATATGAGGGTGGGGGTGGGGAGAGAGGCGCTTAGCTTAGTCCTCCAGTCCACCGCTAGGAAAGGATGCTGTGGAGAGACGTGGTGAGTTGGAAAAGTGATGCCCATTCACTCCTCTGCGTCTCCCATTCCTGTTCCCTGCCTTCCCTTCCCTCCCCTGTGTCTTGTCCATGAACTGCTATTCTCCCTTCACCCCCTTGTGTGTGAGCATCTGCATATCTCAGAGGACACTCATCATTTAGTTTTGGGAACTGGCTTATTTACTTAGCATGATCGTCTCTGGTTCCATCCATTTACCTGCAAATGCCATCATTCCATCCTTCTTCATGGCTCAGTAATATTCCATCGACTATGCAGAACCTTATAAGACAAAAACCATCTCCTTCCTTCCCGTCAGGAATCCCTGGAATTCAGGAATCCCTAGCTCCTCAGGAATTAAAGCCGAAGTCAAAGGACCCTTAGAACCTGGGAGAGTGTCATGGAGCACACGACCGAGGACAAGGACAGACAGCGGCACAGCCTGACCTTGCTGAGCAGGCTGAAGAGCATGCGCGACTCGGCAGAGATGGTGGACGTGGTGCTGGTGGCGGAAGAGGAGCGCTTCCCCTGCCACCGCGTGGTCCTGGCCGCCTTCAGCCCCTACTTCAAGGCCATGTTCTCCTGCGGGCTGCTCGAGTGCGCGCAGGGGGAGGTGGCCCTGCACGACGTCCCGGCCCAGGGCGTGGCCGCGGTGCTGGGCTACATGTACAGCGCCACCCTGGACCTCAGCCCCGCCAACGTGCAGGCCGTGGCCACGGTGGCCCGCTTCCTGCAGGTGGAGGACCTGTTCGACGTCTGCCAGCGGTACATGGCGGAGCACATGGACGCCGCCAACTGCGTGGGCATCTACCACTTCGCCAAGCTGATGGGCGCCGAGGACCTGCACGATCGCTCCAGGAGGTTCCTGCACCAGCACTTCGCCGAGGTCAGCCTCCACGAGGAGATCCTGGAGGTCGACCTGCACCACCTCCTGGCCCTGGTGCAGTCGGACGAGCTCAACGTGACCCGGGAGGAGGGCATCCTGGACCTGGTCCTGCGCTGGGTCGGCCGGGACCAGGGGGCGCGCGCCCCGCACCTGGCCCAGCTCCTGCAGCAGGTGCGCCTGGAGCTCGTGGCCCCGGCCTTCCTGAGGGAGGCCCTGCGCAGGAACACCCTGCTCCTCAGCGACGCCGGCTGCATCGACCTCCTCCAGGGCGCCTTCAAGGCCCTCCGCTCGCCCCGCCAGCGCGCCCCGCACCTGCGCTACGGCATGGAGACCACCAGCCTCCTGCTCTGCATCGGCAACAACGCCTCGGGGATCCGCTCGCGACACAGGAACTACGGGGACGCGAGTTTCTGTTACGACCCCGTGGCCAGGAAGACCTACTTCATCTCGTCTCCCAAATACGGGGAGGGTTTGGGGACCGTGTGCGCTGGCGTGGTCCTGGCAGACAACACCCTGATCGTGGCTGGGGAGGCCACACCCTCCAGGCTCTCGAGACAAAGGAGTAAGAACGTGGAAATCTACAGGTTTGTAGCAACAGTAGAAGGGAGTACGGCCAAGAGTGGTCACTTCTATAGTCCCATGGAGCCTGTCGGGTGACCCTGAAAGTCTCCACAAACATTAGTATAAAAGGCACGGTGCAGTGGCCCACGCCTGTAATCCTAGCGGCTTGGGAGGCTGAGGCAGGAGGATCGCAAGGTGGAGGCCAGCCTCAGCAACTTAGTAAGGCCCTGAGCAATTCAGTGAGACCCTGACTCTGAATAAAATAGAAACTAGGGTTGGGGATGGGGCTCAGTGGTTGAGGGCCCCTAAGTTCAATCCCTGGTACCAAAAAATATATGTATAAGATTAGTATGCAGAACCCAGTTTTATGTGTACCTGTGTATAAGGCCATAACTCTGAATGTAGCATATATATAACATTCATTAGAAGTCATCCACATTATAAATCTATTTTCTCTTCCTTTAATTCCGAAAAACATGATTGAATCTAAGTCACCTGTATTTATGTTACAATTCAATTATATTTTTCACTTAGCTTTCATGATTTATCCATATTGTGCATTATAATGAATTTTTTTGTGGACCTTGATAGAACTTTAAACAATAAGAAAAGTTTATATCACAGACTTCTCTGAACTTTTTAAAAAATTACTCAGAGTACTAAGTATTTTCCTAACCAGAAAGCTTTCGCTCTCTGTCCTTAATTTCTGCATCTTTTCTAAATCCCTAATACTCATGAAACCATGTGGCTTTAAGAATGGCTTCTGGCAGGACATAGTGGCCCACGCCTGTCATCCCAGTGGCTTGGGAGGCTGAGGCAGGAGGATTGCAAGTTGGAGGCCAGCCTCAGCAACAGCGAGGCCCTGAGCAACTCGGCGAGACCCTGTCTCTGAATAAAATGCTGGGGATGGGGCTCAGGGGTCAAAGGTTCCTCCTGAGTTCAATCCCTGGTACCCTCCCCCCCCCCCAAAAAAAAAAAAGAAAAAAGTTTTGTATTTGTAGCTGGGCATTTTTTTCTCCTCGTTTCCAGTTCTCAACGTTGAAACAAAAATGTGATCAGTAAGTCACTCAACAAACAAGTGCTGTGCAACCTTCATAGGATCCATTCTGTTCTGAGCCTGTTTTCTCACAGTGTCTCAAAAAACCACAGCCACCTTTCAGCTCTACGTGGGTATTCGCCCCGTTGGGCTTCATCAAGGAGCCCTACGGAGACCCGGGTCTCCTTCCTGTTCCAAACACCCACACAGTGGTGAAGGTGTCACCCTGGGATGCTCGGGACTTTGGTTTCCTGCCCAGAGCGACAGGGGTTTGATCGTCCCTGCAGTCCCTGGTGACAAGCCAGGCACACACCTCCAAGTGGCCTGTCCAGCCCCAGGCAGAGTGTTCTTGATGGGAAATGTGGGAGTCGCCCGGAAACAGCTCCTCAGAGAAGCTTCCAGGCCTGACTGCCAGGTGTCGCTGAAAATCTGCCCTCGGTACAGAACACACTTCTCTAGTTCTTCTTGTTCACGGAGGGAACCTGGCTTCTCGGTTCCGGGTTGTCCTGGGTGGTGCGTGTGTGGGGTTTTGATTCCGGGTACCTTCCTAGGTCTTCTGAGACTTTGGATTTCACATATTTTATCCACTGCTGCCCTAAGTACTTTGTCCTTCTCAGATCACGACTGGGAAAATGAGACGTCACCTTGAGTGGGACAAGGGGCGGTCGTAAGCGCTCATGCTCGGTGACTGACAGATGTCAGCTCTCTAGAAGGCCCCGAGAGACCCCAAGCCCCTGTCCCCTGAGACTCTTCTTAGATCAATCTGACAATTCATACAAGAAGTCACCGTACCTAGTGGGCTAGACTGTCTGCCCAGCGCCCGGCCCACGTCCTCAGATGAGCTTTTACGCCGTCCTTTGACCCAGTTTGAAGCCTGTTAGAACTACAGTCCTTAAATTCTCTGTGTCCTGCATCAGACAGCCTGTTAGAAATCCTGAGTTGGATATTTTCAGATTCTCTGCCTGAAAACCATGATTTTTTCATGTAATTTTTTCTTAGAAATTGAACCCAAGACAGGCTTAACCCCTGAGCCCCGTCCCCAGCCCTTTTTGATGTTTTATTTAGAGACAGGGTCTCCCTGAGTTGCTGAGGGCCTAAGTGGCTGAGGCTGGCCTCCACCTTGCAATCCTCCTGCCTCAGCCTCCAGAGCTGGTGCGTATACAGCTGTCTCGTGTTGATCTTCTTTCCCCTCCAGTTGGGAGAGCCAGACTTGAGTATGTCCCTTGGGCCTTCTGTTTTCGAGTGGACGCTGATCCTCGGCTCCCTTTCTGCTGATTTCCAGGTACCATGACGGAGGGAACCAGTGTTGGGAGAAGCTGTCCTCCACCGAATTCCGGGAGCTCTATGCTCTGGGCAGCGTCCACAAGGACCTCTATGTCGTAGGAGGACAGATGAAAGTCAAAAACCAGTACCTCGTCACCAACTGTGTGGACAGGTACTCCGTCGAGCGCGACACCTGGAAGAGAGTGTCCCCCCTCCCGCTGCAGCTGGCCTGCCACGCCGTGGTGACCGTGAAGGAGCAGCTCTATGTGATGGGGGGCTGGACCCCGCAGGTGAGAACGTTCTTTGGTTGTAGTTATTCATTAGTCCTCCTTAGCTCCCCGTGACAGCAGCGAGCATCCTGCCATGTCACCTACACGGGATGTGGCTTCCCACTCCTGTGGCTGGGCCTGCTGTGGGGTGTCCCTGGTCGTGGGTTCCTATGTGAACATGGGAGTCATGTAGGAAAATCTCTTGGATAACTAACTGGCATGGCTTCTCTGGGCCTGGCTCTGTTGAAGACGCCGTAGTCACTGGACACTAAGAGTGTCACACCTACATTTGATAAGATGCTCTCTAAGACGGGTGCAGGGGTGCAGGACTGGAGTCCCAGGGGCTCAGGAGGCTGAGGCAGGAGGATCGCAAGGTGGAGGCCAGCCTCAGCCACTTTCGTGAGGTGCTAACAACTCAGCGAGACCCTGTCTCTAAATAGAATACAAATAGGCCTGGGATGGGGCTCAGGGGTGCAGGGCCCCTGGGTTCAGTCCCCAGTCCCCAAAATATAAAATAAAAAAAAACAAAACACAGTTTGCTTGGTTTGGATCCAGCCCCTCAGCCCCGAGACCACAGAAGGGGGGGTTCCTGTAACATTGACAATGTCCTGCCACCCGGAGGCCCAGGCCTGGGCTCTGTGAGGGACCACAGACGCTCTGTCCCCCGGCTGCTGTTCCTGGTGGAGACCGCTGACTGGTCTTGCTCTCTGGCCTCGTGTTTCACGCAGATGGATCGCCCCGACGAGGAGCCTGATCGGTTGAGCAACAAGCTCCTGCAGTACGACCCCGGCCAGGATCGATGGCGGGAGCGGGCGCCCATGCAGTACGCCAAGTACCGCTTCAGCGCGGCCGTCCTCAACGGGGAGATCTATGTGCTGGGTAAGCTCCTGGCCGACAGCGCGGCCATCTTTATTCTCCTGGCACTTTGGCTCAGTCAACATGAAATATTCTCCCTTGTCTGTCCCCTTCCAAATGTATCTGTGAGTCACCAAACTTCATCTCAGTCAGGAAGACCAAGTGGCCGTCACTTCACCAGATCCACCAGATTTGTAGAGATGTCACCAAATAATTTCCTCTGAATCATATATTCTGGGGGCCACGGGGTTGAACTCAGGGCACTACCCCACTGAGCCATCTCCCCAGCCCCTTTGTATATTTTTTTATTAAGATGCAGGGTCCCGTGGCCGGGGCTGGGGCTCAGTGGTGGAGCCCTTGCCTGGTACATGGGAAGCACTGGGTTCAGCCCTCAGCACCTCGTAAATAAGATAAAAGTCCATTGAAAACTCAAAAAAGTAAAAGAAAAAAAGGAGAGAGGGCCTCACTGACTTGCTGAGGCTGGCCTCCAACTTGCGATCCTCCTGCCTCAGCCTCCGGAGCTGCTGGGGTTGCAGGTGGGCCCCTCCAGGCACGGCCTTTTTTCTCATGTCCTGAACACGCCTGGTCTCGCACACATCAGCCCATCTCAGACCCGCGGGGACAGGTAAGAGACCCGAGGGCCACAGACGGGGTGAGCCCAGTTCCAGCACGTTCTCCTGAGGCCCGTTCTTCCCTCCTCCCCCCTCGTTTGTTGAGTTCTGCGCCCTGAGCGCCTTCCTGCTCCCTAAGGTCACCCCGTCACCTCCCTCCTCCCTGCGCGTGGGAGACAGGAAGGACGCCGGCTGCGCTGGTGCAGGGGGACTGTGCCCTTCGTTCTTGGGTCCCATCTGCAGTGAGGGACAAAGGGCACACACCTGGGGAAGGGGACGGGTCGCCGCGGTGACAGGAGGAGACAGGAGGGAACAGCACGCCTGTGAGCAGAAGTGAGACGTCTTCAGCTCAGGGGTGACGTCGTCCTTGTCTGCCGGTCCTGGAGGGAAGCAGGACTCGTGGCCGAGTGTTAATAAGGGTTTTATTTAAGGACAAGGCGCGGTGCAGTGTCACTTGTGACGGCCTCGGTGACAGGGCTCACTCGAGTGAAGCTTTTCCTCTGGGTAGACATCCTGTGCTTTGTCAGGACTACGTGCCACGTCACAGGCCCAGAGGAGATGGCACCTGAGCTGAGAGACAGGGACCCAGCTCAGGGCCGGGAGCAGCTGACCCCGAGTCCTGGAGGAATGGGGCTCGGAGCTGGTTCAGACAAAGAAGCAAGAGCAGAGGAAGCAGATGAGCCCTCAGGGACCCGGAGTCGAGAGCACGAGTGTAGGTACAGGGAGCCAGGTGACAGGCTGTGAGTAAGGAATTAAGAAACTCAGCTGGGCACAGTCACACACACCTGTCATCCCAGCGGCTCTGGAGGCTGAGGCAGGAGGATCGTAAGTTGGAGGCCAGCCTCAGCCACTTAGCCAGGCCCTGAGGAAGTCAGCAAGACCCTGTCTCTCAATCAAACACAGAATGGGGCTGGGGACAGGGCTCCGTGGTCAAGGGCCCCTGAGTTCAATCGCTAGTGCTCTCCCCACCCCAAACTGGAATGTCTGTCTGCCTGGGAGTTATTAAGGTTAATAACGGATGAACGATCCCTGCAGCCCAAGCACGCGGCCTCATAACTGCTGCTGTGGGCGACTTTATGCCGTAGGCACTTTGTTGAATTCTTTGCATAAACAGTTTCCTTTAATGGTCATAAAAATGGACCAAGTATTCACTCTCCTCTGTGTGGCTGGTAGATATCCAGGCCGAGCCTCCATCGGAGAATATCTAACAATGTTCCATGAAGCACTTTTTAAGCTTCTGAAATCTATGGTGCCAGTAAGCATTTAGCTAGCAAAAAGATAAGCGAGACCAAGAGACTTCCAGCTACAAAGTAAAAATGCCACCATTCTCTCCCCTGGAAGAGGATTTGGAAGGAGACACATTGTCAAAAAGAACCGTTTCAGATCTAGAAATCAATCAGAAGTTGGGTGGGGTGGCGCACGTCTGTCGTCCCAGCAGTTCAGGAGGCTGAGGCAGGAGGATCGCAAGGTGGAGGCCAGCCTCAGACACTTAGCAAGGCCCTGAGCAACTCAGTGAGACCCTGTCTCTAAATGTAATATTAAAAGGTTGGGGTTCCATGGTTAAGATCCTGGGTTCAATCCTTGGTACCCTCCAAAATTAATTAATTGATAAAAATGCCATCTCACTGAGGGACTGCAAGACACCAGAGCGTCTGTCAGACCTCAAGTCTAGGGCTGGGCTGGGGCTCAGTGGCAGAGCGCTTGTCTAGCACGTGGGAGGCCCTGGGTCAGATCCTCAGCACCAGAGGAAAATAAACCTAAAAAGAGAAAGGTACTGTGTCCAACTCCAACTAAAAATAAATGTTAACAACAAAAAACCCTGCAAGTCTAAACTGCAGTGTCTCCCAGAGCACCAGAACTTCTGCAGGTGGGACACCTGGTTGGCAGGTGGGACATCTGGCTGGTGTCCCTGGGGTCCACTCTGAAGAGCCGTGTCCCTGTGTCAGGGTGTGTGACAAGTCAGCTTGCCCTATGTCTCCCATGTCTGAGAGCAGCAGGGAAACTTGACTTGACACAGGATTACTGAGGTGCAAGACTCGCACGTCCCTGAAAAGCGATGACCATCCACGCGGCCACGAGTGGGGCTCCACTGAGCCTCACACACCCGAGCCCCCCACAGCAGCCCTTTCCATCTGTAGGGTGGCGCACGCTGCTGGTGCCCTGGGTGCCTATAACAGGAAATCAGTTCCCTTCCTTCTGGAGCCATGTGTCTTTATCCCAGACCTCAAAAAGTCCCCACAGGTAACTTCCCAAGGAACAGAAAACATCCCGCAGCTAAAGGGACAAGCACCTTGAGCAATAGCCCGTGGAATAACGTTTGATAGAAACAGAGAACCAGGAGGCCACGCGTATTGGAGCCATCCGACAAGTGGTGTCAAATAGCTGTATTCCTTTTAAAGAAATAAAAGATGGCCAAGTGGCACGAAGAAACAGAAAACCACACCGAGTGGTCAGTAGTATTTGGGACGCTGGATGGAGTGGCGCAGCCTGTCACCCCAGCAGCTCTGGAGGCTGAGGCCGGAGGATCGCAAGGTGGAGGCCAGCCTCAGCCACTCAGCAAGACCCTGTCTCTAAATAAAATGTAAAAAGGGCTGGGGACGGGGCTCAGGGGTTAAGTGTCCTGGGTTCAGTCCTTGGTACTGAAAAAAGTGTGTGGGACGAGCCAGCTGGACCCACAGTGTGAAGGGAGCATAGTGATGGAAAGCCAGTGGGTAAGGAGAACACTAGCAAATCAGGAGAGAGTCTTGAAGAAATTGTGCAGGGTACAACACAGAGTGACGACGATCATACACTGTGCACACTCACACACTCACGAACACTCACACACATTGCGCACACACCGCCTCCCTTCCCTGCCACCTCTCTCTGAATGGAAGAGAAGTTGGGGACGTGGGGGACAGAGGAGAAGATGGGTGACGTTCAGTCAAGTCCCGTAGAGGGAAGAGGCTGCTCTGCTTGGGGACTTCGTCCCCCAGGGGTTCAGGTGCTGAAGGCTTGATCCCGAGGTGACAGTATCAGGAGGTGGCCGGGCCTTCAGAGGTGGGACAGTGGGAGGTCATCAGGTCACGGGGACTCTGCTCTCTGCAGGGGCAGTGACGTCCCGCAGGAGTGAGCCAGCCACAGCAGGGGACCCGGCTGTCCTCCTAGTGACGCGGAGGCCGACGCAGGAGGCCCCGTGTTTGAAGGCAGCCCGTGCCCCTGAAGAGAGGTCGTGCCTCCAACAGGAAGGGCCGGGTGTGGCTCTGGGACAGCAGCCCCGGCCAGGACAGGGAGGGGAAGAGGGGAAGGAGCCCGGTGCTGCCCCGCCCTGCCCTCTGCTCCCTCCTCTCCGTGTGACCCCTCCTGTGCCCCTGCCACCTGTGATGTCACCCAGCACGAGTTCCCCAGAGGGGGCTTCCTCTTCCCGAAGCTCCAAGCCTCGTGTGTTGTGTCACAGCCACGGCGGACCCACAGGGCCAGGGACAGTGTCTGAGGGACAGTGGGGGGGGGGTCCTGGAACTAGGGAAAGACGGACGGAGCCTCGTGCCAACACGGTGCCAGCCTGGCTGGCCATCGAGAGCCGAGGGCACAGGGACCTGACTGAGGGACCCCAGAGGGACAGGGCCTTAACGCAGCTGGAGGAAAAGGATCGACACACTGACAGGTGGCCTCGCCCGCCACAGAGTGTGGGACACAGGAGACAGCAGGGCCGTCCGCTTGGTGTGCCACGGTGACAAGGACACAGCCTGTGAGACGGTCCTGCGAGAGCAATAGAGACGTCTCAGACAGACCAAGAGCATCACCACCCGAGGAGGTCCCCACCCAAGAAGCTTCAAGAATGTTCTTCAAGCAAAAATGAAAATCCACAGGGACCCAACAGGGAAGGTCCAGAGGCCAGGGGGTGAGAGGTGGCATGAGAGCCACCCTGTAGTCACCACGTCCCCAGACGGGTGGACAGTCCTGGAGCGGCCTAACCCTGGGCTGATGGGACACCTGCCGGGGTCCTGGTCCTGGCATCAGACACTGTCCCCACGAAGGGGAAACGAAGAGCCGTGGTCTGTGCAGCTCCTGGCTGCTGCAGGTGGCTGTCCTGGGGCCCAGGAGGACGGCCACCGTGACCCCCAGAAAGCTCTGACCCAAATGGCAGGCAGAGAGCTAACAAGTGTCCCAGCCTGCTCTGGGCTCAGGTGGAGGGAGACGTCACTGACGTGGCTGCGGGTCACACTTGGGCACGCACAGTTGAGGGGCACAGCAGAGGTCAGGCAGACATGGAGAAAGACAGAAAAGGATTTTGCAGCCTGTAGGCTTTGGGGGCCCAACCAGAGCGAATGGGCTTCTTTCTCAGAAGTGGAGTCTCTGTCCTGCTAACAGAATGCGGGTGACAATCTGTTTCACTGTCACGTGAGTTGTCCCATCTCTGACGTTTCCCACCCTCACTTGGAGCCTGAGGCCTTAGGAAACATGACCCGGCTTCTCTCTTTGGGGTTCTAACCACGGGCCGCACCCCGTCCTCATTTTTTTGAGACACGACCTCTAAGTGGCTGAGGCTGCTGTGAACTTGGGATCCTCCTGCCTCAGCCTCCTGCGCACCGGCCCAGCCGTGTCACCCTGCTCTCTCCTTACTGCTTACTGACGGCTGGTGACTGTCCGCACTTCCTGTTGGCTTCTCCCAAGGCACTGCTTACGCCGGTGGATTTAAGTTGGGAAATGGGCCCCGCTGGCCTTGACCTGATAAAATGCCACGAGAAACAGTCCTCGCCTTCCATTTGCCTCATGCAACTTTGAAAGAAACCTGTGACAGCAAGTTGACCATCAATAAGCCATTAATTGGGGGGATACCGGAAATTGAGCCCAGGGGCGCTTAACCCGAGCCCTGTCCCCAGCCCTTTTTATATTTTATTTAGAGACAGGGTCTCGCTGAGTTGCTGAGGCTGGCCTCCAACTTGCAATCCTCCTGCCTCAGCCTCCCAATTTGAATTGCCATCAGTTATAGGTTTAGCAAACACTTGAGAATCATCAAACATGAGACTTGAGCAACTTCAGGACCCGCTGGCTTCCTTACGAACATCCTAGAACGTGAAAAGGAGCAAGAAATAAGACTCGAGTCACAACTGCCTGCTCGCCACGTCACTTAGATACAGTCCCTGAGAATCAGCGTCAAAGCTGCTGCAGGGACCCTCGTGAACAGGTGCCCAGACCACAAACGTGACTCCTCCCTGTCCCCCCCCCCCGTGTGGTCGTCTAATCACTCTGGCACCAATTTATGAAATCAGTGTGACATCCTTCGTCTACAGATGACAAGAAAGTGAACTGTTTTAGTCGGCTACTTTGCTGCTGTGACTAAAGGACCCTCCAACACCACTGCAGAGGGGGACAGTGGACGTGGGGCCCAGGGTGTCCCAGGTCCCAGTCCACAGGCGGCTCCACTCCTGGGCGAGGGGAGGCAGGACATCATGGAGGAAGAGTGTGGTGAGGGAGCAGGGACTCCACTCTCCAGGGACAAAGAGAGACCCCAAGCCACGGCCCCAGGGCCACTTCCTCCCCCACACCCCACCTGCCACCAGGGAGCCATTCCCTGCCGGGGTTCAGGGCTCACACCCCTCACTCCTCCTCTGGACCTTCCTGCGTCACCTCCCACGGGGGGCTCTGGGGACACTCACAGCCACAGCAGGACATGACACAGGAACCAAATCGACCACCTTGTCCTGCCAGCAAGTGACAAGCCAAGAATATGGAGCGGCCTCCGTCTTCCCAGCAGCCCACGTGGTGTCACCAGGGCACAGGGACACACAGGCACCCCCAGGCTGGCCCCGCAGGCAGCTGGGGACCTGGTGACTATCACAAGATCTTCCTCCTGCTTTGGATCAGGCCCCGGGAGAGCAGAATGTGCCTGCCCCCTTGAGGCCACCTGCAGGCGAGGCACACAGGGCCAGCACCACCGTGTCCACGGGTCCTGTGCCCCCCGCCAGCTCCCGCCAGGCTCCATGGGCAGAGAAGGTGACGCCCAGGCCCCTCGGAGAGGGAAGAGTCCGTCCCAGGCCAATGTAGGAGGGAGCCTCCATCTCAAGGAAGGTGGGGCAGGGAGGAGTGTCCCCTCCCGTCCTGTTCTCCGTCCCCTGCAAAAACGCACAGTGGTAACGACCCAGGGCTAGGGTTCTGTTCTGCATCTGGGATGTGTTGGGAGGTGACTTGGAAAGACTGTCCATTCGCCTGTTTTTGAATTAAACTCGGGCTCACAGGTTCTGGGCACATGAACTAGACATTCGGAGGTGTCCAGATCCCACTGACGTCCCACAGATGCACCTGTCCCCCCCCCCCCAGGAGGGCTCTCATAGGAGGTCTCCCTGGAGGCAGGTGTGGCTTATTAATAAAGATGGAGCCTCTGATTATTTATCTCATCAAGAGTCACCTTCAGTATGCGCTCGGTATGTCTGCTGCCCTCGTGTCCTTGATGGTGACATCACACCCAGGGGGACACAGGGAGTAGGTCCCGCCTTTGTGGCCAGGAACAAAAAGGGGACACCCCGGAAGCCCACACACACACCACCCCTCAAGCAGAGCCCGTGAACTGTCACCAGCCAGCAAGAAAGCACAGATCCAAGGGTTAGATTGTGGACCAAGGGACGAACATCGTCATTGATACACTTTTTTTGGTGCCAGGGATTGAACCCAGGTGCCCTTAATCCCTGAGCCCCGTCCCCAGCCCTTTTTATATTTTTATTTAGAGACAGGGTCTCACTGAGTTGCTCAGGGCCTTACTTTGGCTGAGGCTGGCCTCCCACTTGCGATCCTCCTGCCTCAGCCTCCGTATCTGCTGGGATCACAGGCGTGTGCCACCACACCCAGATAAATACACTTTTGGTAACAGAGCAACAAAAATGACGGCATTTGTTATCTCCAAAAAATCCACAGGACAAGGTAACGCCCCATGTTTTCTGTGTCTGGTGGGGACAGACACAGGGGCTCTGCTGTGAAGGTTCTGAGTTACATGGAGGATGTTGGTCTCTGTGGGCCTCCACCTGACCCCCCTGTGGCTCACCCTTGACCTTGCTGGTCCCTGACAAGGTCACGATGCAAAGCAGCGCAGAGCATCTCCGCGGCCCTTACGGGATCCTACAGCTAAGTCCCGGTGACCCTCCCTGGGGGTGTCCAGCTGTGGCTGAAGCCTCGCCCTGGGCCTCTCACCCCACAAGGAAGAGATTCCGCTTTTGGTGAGGTTGAGAACCTTCTCGGTGCCTCCCTGAAAGTGGGCCCGGGGACAGCAGCTGTGTGGTCAGCTGAGGCCAGTGTCGCCCTCCTTGGACTCAGCTGCTCAGACTCCGCGTGGTCACTGGGCTGCACTATCGATCCAGTCAGGTCATGCCCGGCAGCCAGCAGCCTTCTGGGCTCAGAGCCTCCGTCCCTGGATCCCCACTGAGACGGGACACAGGCCAGACGGTCAGCAAAGGGGAAAAGGACTCCTCTCCACAGCCGTCCCCAGCAGCTCTGGTGCCCAGGCTCAGCCCCGGTGGTGGGGAGAGCAGCCTTCACCTCCAGCTCCGTGGACTCGCTGAGTACTGGGCGGCAGAGCCACCGAGGGGCACACCTGTCATCCCAGCAGCTCAGGAGGCCGAGGCAGGAGGATCGCAAGGTGGAGGCCAGCCTCAGCCACTTAGCAAGGCCCTCAGCAACTCAGCGAGACCCTGTCTCTAAATACAAAATATAAAGGGCTGGGGACAGGGCTCAGGGGTTAAGGGCCCTGGGTTTAGTCCCTGGTATCAAAAAGAAAACAAGTGACATTGAATTTGGCCATGGGCACGTAGCAGACATCACTGCTGCTGTGACATGATCTTAGAAGCAGCACCAGGCGGGAAAGGGACGCGCCACCGTCCTGGAGCCTGGGGGGCAGACCCCACCGGCCGAGGTGGCCGCCCACGTGGACCTGCCCTTCCTGACCCGCCGTTTCCTGGGTCGCTCTCTGCAGGGGGAATCGGCTGTGTGGGTCGAGACAAGGGCCAGGTTCGGAAGTGCCTGGACGTGGTGGAGATCTACAACCCCGACGGGGACTTCTGGAGGGAGGGCCCGCCCATGCCCTGTCCCCTGCTCTCCCTCCGAACCAACGCCAGCAGCGCAGGCGCCGTGGACGGCAAGCTGTACGTCTGCGGGGGATTCCACGGAGCAGGTACCGCCCCGTCACACGGGTCCCCGCCCCGGAGCTGGTTCTGACCCTCAGTGTCCAGGTGACTGCCCAAGAGCAGGGCCACACTGGAAGAGTCAGGCTTCGGGAGCTCAGTGACCTTGAGCGAGTCCCTAGACCTGTGCGCTCGGGCTCCACGTTTACCTAACGAGTATCCACACCCCTAGGTGTGGGCCACCTTCAGTGGGTCCTGGCTTCTCCTGTGGCCAGAACACGGCAGACACCAACCACACAGACCCCGAAGGGCAGCATTGAACCTGAAGGGGGGAGAAATCATAGGAGGGGGAGAGATTTTAAAATAGGGAGAGCCAGGCCCGGAGGCTCCCACCTGTCATCCCAGAGACATGGGAGGCTGAGGCAGGAGGATCGCAAGTCGGAGGCCAGCCTCAGCAATTTGGTGAGGCCCTGAGCAACTCAGCAAGACCCTGTCTCTAAATAAAAAATAAAAAGGGCTGGGGACGGGGCTCAGGGGGAGGGCTCTCCTAGGTCCAACCCCAATACTGCCAAATAGACTAAGTGTGACCTCACTGACAGCCACAGTGGCCAGCACAGACCTGTTGGAAACAGAGCTCCGGGCACTTCCTGTTCTGAAAGAAAGACGTCCTGCCCAGGCCGACAGTGCACAGCAGGGCCTCGTGCTAGGCCGACTTTGTTTAATAAGCACATAATCATACACAACAGAGAATAATGGTCGTAACTTCAGCATGAAGCAGGAGAATCAAGTGCCATGATTGAGCTCCTCTGGTTCTCTTTTTTTTTTAGTATTTCCAGTTCTAGATGGACACAGTGCCTTTATTTTGTTTATTGACGTCTTTTTTTTTTTAAATCTTCATTTTATTCTCTATGTGGTGCTGAGAATCGAACCCAGTGCCTCAAGCATCCTAGGTGAGTGCTCTACCTCTGAGCCACAAGCCCAGCCCTGACTGAGTTTTTTTACGTGGTTCTGGGGCTGAAACCCAGGGCCTCACACCTGCTAGACAAGTTCTCAACCCCTGAGCCCCAGCCCCAGCCCTTTTTATAATTTATTTAGAGACAGGGTCTCGCTAACTTGATGAGGGCTTCACTAAGTTGAAGAGGCCGGCCTCCAACTCACAATCCTCCTGCCTCAGCCTCCCGAGTCACTGGGGTGACAGGCGTGGGCCTCTGCACCCGGCTCTTTTTCTTTACTTGTTCTTCAAAGGACAGCAAGAAGCCTGGCAGAGCCGGGAGGCCTAGCAGCCGCAAGCCCTGCCGGGACACCAGGATCTGAGCTGTCCAGGGAGGGCGCCCTGCTGCCCGGCCCACTCGGCTGGCCTCTCCCTCCACTCTGGTCACCTCGATTCCTGTGCCGCCCCAGCCGTCCCACTTTCTCTTGACCAAAAAGAAGGCCGAGAATACAGGAGAGAGTGTCAGGCTGTCTGGAAGGATGGAGGCCATCAGTGTGGAGGGGCAGGAGGCCGTTCTGTTGGGCCTCAGTGACCTATTTTCTTCCCCCCACACTGAGGCGCAGTGGACAGCCCATGATAACCCGCCCCCGGAGCCGCTTCTCCTCTGTGCTAGCCCGTAATGCCGCAGCCATATTGGTTATGAATAAGCCCCGAAGACCTCAGTAGGAGTTCATTCACCAGCCGTTACTCAGAACACCAGGGACCCTGGATCCCAAGTGCTTTGCCACGTCCCTTCCTCCAATCTGGTGGGAAATGTGAAATCCTTAACTGACTGAAGGCACGGCCAGAGAAAGTTGCTAGACAGCCTTTTATAACGATGCTTATGTGCTCAAGAGGATGGTCAGAGAACGTCCACGTCCCCTCCCCTGCAAGGGACCACATGACAACCAACGAAATGGGCAGGAGGATCCCAAGGTAGAGGCCAGCCTCCGCCACTTGCTGCTGTTTCACACCCTTCAATAGACCAGCGGCCTCCCGCACCGCCAAGGCATCGTCTGATGGTCAGGCTTATCGTGACACTCAGGAGCTGCTTCTGTCTGCTCGGATCAGGGACATTGTCCCTTTCATTAGCACACTGGCTCCTCCACCACCAGCAAGACCAGGAAACATCCTCACCTGAGAACAAGCCACGTTCGCCTGGGGTAGGTGCCTCGCTCTACCATGTATTATTTCTCCTTTTACCCACTCGCTCCAAACAGGATGGAGTCTGAGAGACTTATCGACCATCCACAGTAAGATAGAAAGGAACGGAAGAAACCCACCACACACCAGGCACGGCGGCCCACGCCTGTCATCCCAGGGGCTCAGGAGGCTGAGGCAGGAGGATCGAAAGCTAGAGGCCAGCCTCAGCCACTTAGCCAGGCCCTGAGCAACTCAGTGAGACCCTGTCTCTAAATAAAGTAGAAAAAGGGCTGGGGACGGGGCTCAGGGGTGGAGGGCCCCTGGGTTCACTCCCCAGGACCCAAGAAAAAGAAAAATACCAAACAGTAATTAAAGTGAATCAGGACGTAGAAGGAAGGAAAAATAAAAATTAAAAAAAATAAATCAACGAGACAGAGATAAGGCCAGAGCCCAGGTGGCCTCCAAGCTCCTGCACACTGGCTGTGGGTGTGGACCACCTGTTTCCCTGCCACCTCACCAGAGACCGGTGCACAGAGGAGGGCGTGTCCTGTGTCCCCAGTGTCCCCTGCTAGGACCCCACGGCTGGGCACCGTGTAACCAGGAGGAAATCTCTCCCTGGCCTCATGAGGACTGCTGAGAG